ATTTCTGTCGCTATTAGATCACAATTTAATTTTTGAGCAGTTCTAGATTCCAGAGGCGCAGTTTTATCTTTATACGAGGGAATGTTCGTATTATTCTCTACAGAAACTATTGCAGCGTATATAAAATCAAATTAGGGTCACGGTCGATCGTTAGTGTGATCTTTTTATGTAAACTTTTGAAAATCGCAGAAACGAGAAAATTTTCGTCCAAGTAGAGACAACGGCTAAAACGAACCGTTTGGCAAGTATTTTTGCGTCATGTTTTGATTTAGAATCCTGTAAGCGCCCGAAGGACTTGTAATGTTGTATACAAAGCGATAAACGAGCGACTAAGTTTTAATAAAAGAAACAAGGCCATCTAAATATTTTATGTCCTTTGAATATGTCCACGTTCCGTGTCACTACAGATCATCAGGGCGAGTTGTGTGCTTAATCAAACCTTTTTGGCTGTTGCAATCAGTTTTTGGATTAAATAAGTCCATGTTTGAATTTTTTAACATTTCTTTTACAAAGGTTAAACTGAATTTTTACAGCTCATTTAGTGTAATGGACTCAAGCACAACCTTTCTTTCAGAAACCTCGGTAACCCTTTGTTACAGTTTTGGAAAGGCATCTTATTTCATGATAGATTTGTCTTTTTTGTTAGGTCACTTTAAAACCTTAACTTTCGTCAGGGAGTAAACTGTTATTTATGAGCATGTAATTGCATTTTGATTGGAAGAAGAGAAGCATACAGTTTTTTTTGTCAACATGAACTTATCAAAATATCATTTCTCCTTTTTGATTTTTTAAAATTTTCTTCTAATGGTTATGAAGAGAATTGAAAGTTTCATCAAGGCATTAGGACACAGTCTTGCATAATTCTTTATTGTTCTTGCCTAGAATACTATGTTTGACAGTGCATTGTATTGTATGTGTGGAGAAATGAGATGTTTACCGGTAATCATTCTTAATCAGGAATTAAGCGTTCCCTAGTTTTTCTCCAGGGCCCAACTGTTCAAAGGCTGGATAACGCTATCCGCACTGGATAAATCGCTACTCAGTGGATAAGTGTTAACAAAACAAACCCTGCTATCCACTGGAGAGTGATTTACCTGGTGGATCGTACCGTGTATTATCCACCTTTCGAACATCCCAGGCCACAATAAGAGTTATGAAAATCTCAAGCAACATCAAGCACTGTGATGGGCTACAGCTAATTATAAATTATGATTGTGTTATTATAGTTCTCAGGCAAGTCTACCTGAAGACTTTTCAAATGGATTATTGTAAGAACTACTTTAATGAACAATGAACTTAAGAAGAAAAAGAAATTTAGCATTTCTCCACAGCTTTTCAGTAGAAGTCACTTCATGCCTAATCAACAGTTTTCTTTTTGCTTTTCAAGGTTCGCAGGAATCAAGTTTTGCCAGTTTGTATCAAAGTAGGAACTGATTGAAAGCTGTTTATAATGAACAGTTCTTATCAGCAAGTGTCGCAAGACCCAGATGAAAGGTGAATACTCTGAATTCTCATACACGACACCTTATCAGTCATGGCTCTGTGAAACAGGGCACAAAGAAAACCATTTTCAGGCTTGCCCTTTGGACAACTTGTTACCATGATGTAGCTGTCTGAGAGCCATTCCTCGCTAGCCTAAAAAAAATTCATCTCTTCCGTGCAGTACTTCTGTAACTTGAATTTCCTCAAAGTGTTTTCCAAGACATTTTATTTGCTGGTGAAGGACAGCATATAAAAGCCCAAGGCAAGTTTTAAAGCTACTAGCCCTGGACCATGACTTTCTTTGCACGCAGTGATACAATCCTATAGAAATCAATGCTGTAACTCGACTGATTTCTAGCACAATATCATTAACTTAGTTCAAAATTTGTTATATGAAAAAAAAACTTAATGACTGAGTAACGCTGAGACAGGAAAAAAAATTCCTTTCAGTCATTTTGAATTGACTTTGCCTTGCTCAGTCTGTATGCCATGACTATGAGTCAAATATTTCCCATCTAGCCCTCCTACTCAGTTGATATTGACTCTTAAAAGGTACTTGGCGGAAATGCTCATTTGGGGATATTTTTATCAGAGGATCTCTGTAATGCTGTCTAAAATGCATCTGTCAACCTGGCAATCAATTTGAATATAAAAGTAGACAAGAATCAGTTTAAGTCCTATTCACACAAAGTATTGTTTCAAGGAAGTTCAAGAAAATAATGCCAAAATTGTTTTTTCTCATCTTAGTGATGATCGTCACAGATCTTACCAACCATACCACGATGATGAGGAGGGTTATGAAGGAAACTGTGGTTATAACTACGGCTACAATCCCTATCGGCTGCCATCTGGGGGAATCAAAGGAAAAGTGGAGCAGAAATACTGGCATACAAAACAAACTGTGATCCAAAAATTAGGAAAGGAACAAGATAGTTATGTTGTAGCAGGAGACTCTGAAGTTGATGCGCGTCTTGAAGTAAGAAAATTAAATTAGTTACATGGTAATGCTATGGAAATAGTAAGTCAAATATTATTCTTGCATTTTGGTTGATTCTTACTTATGATCTGCTGGAGGACACACATGCATGATTGTATGATTTTTTAACTGGTAGATTCCATGTTGCTGTGGATCTGTTCAGTAATACAATGTAGATTACAGATGATGTCAAAATATAGTTAGAACATCAGTGACACACTGGCCTACTGGTTTGTGTGCCCCTTTTTGTTCTTACCACATTTTGACATCATCTGTGATCTATGACTTGACAAATGTACAGCAACATGGAATCCATCATTTAATAAAAAATGATAAATTAAAATAATCTGACTGTATAGTCACCTCTTTAGATGGTCTACATGTATTTGTTAGTATTTGTAATATCCATTGTAGAATTAACGCGTTGTTTAACATTATGCATGCATTATTTTATTATTTTTTATAGGCTTTTAGACACATACAAAAGACTTGTATGGACATACTGAAGGCAGTCGAAATCTATCAAAACAGGATATTTGGTATGATTAATTCTCTTTATTCTTACTTGCTATCTTTTCCCTTCAGGGAAACAGGCTTTTAGCCAAGATTTGGAAAGTAGGCATCCAAAATGTGCTACATTTATAAGGCCTGCTCAAATTAACAATTTATAAGGCAGCATATGAAAAATAAAACAATTTCGTTTAATAAGTGGTCATCCACAGGAAAGCTGGACACCCATCTGGCTAAAAGCCTGCTTAGAAAGTTGATCACACTTGACAGGCAGCAGTTGAATTGATTACCTGTGAACATTACTTGTCGCACCACAACCCTATTTTTTTAAAAAATAATATTTTATTTATATATTAAGTTGCTGTTGAAAACTCCTCTCCTGCTCTATTGTGAAGCCCTTAGTTTTCTTTGATTCGCTGTGGTTTAGCTCACACACTGCTGTTGTACTGCTTAAAGAGGACCATACCCAAGCATTGATGAAACAAACCAGTCCTGTAATTAGATACTATGACAAGCAATGGCAGGGTTGCACGGTCAGGGAAATGTCGGAGAAAGTCATATTTTTTCAAAGTCAGGGAAAGCTTAGGGAATTTTCTATCAGGTCAGGGAATTTCTAAATCGCTGTTCAAAGTCAGTGAAAAGTCAGGGAATTTTACCTTCAGGTTGCTGCAGTATGTTATTAGGACTTTTCTCTGTAGACAAGGCAATAATTGTGTTTCAAAAGTTATCTTTAAACCATCTCTATTGTGGGTGATTCACAGTCGGAATAATTATCCAGTGTGGTCAGTAAAAATTGCTTTGCAGTCAGTGAAGAGTCAGAGAATTTTATTTACTCCATTGGGTGACAGCGCTGATTGTGAAAGTAGAAAGCTTCACAGAAGAATTGTAATTTTACTTCTTGTTGTTGTCATCTCCTTCAGCTTTGTCTCAAGATGAGAATGAAATGGGTCGTTTTCTGCGAGAGCAAGGTTCCCAGGATAAATCCAAAGCTGGAAAGATGATGATTGCTGTAGGCAAGGCCCAGAGTTACTCTGCTCAACAAAGGTATGCTGTATGCATGTCTAACATAACCATATCAGCAACTGACCATCATTGACGAAATGTTATCAATGTTAACCTTGAAGTGCTATTCAAACAATCTGCACTTGAGATAATGTATGTATACTTGACTCTAAACTTGTATAATCTTTAGATTTTTTTTCTAAGGGATGATGGTTTCAAACTAAAATAATTTTTTAAAGGGAAGTATTATGCTGAAGACTAGAATTTCATGAGCGGTGTGGGTTCAAATCAAAAACCACTCTGTGGAGGAGGTACTGCTCAATGAATGTGTTTTGAAACATGACATCCAAGCCATGTACATGCAGCTAATCACATCAAATAATAGTCTGAAGTCTGTGGACTTTGCTTCTGATCTCAGTGAAAAACTACATTGAACTACCTTTTCTTTGATAGAGATACAGAGCTTTGATTGGTTAGAATGTATGTACTTGTAGCTCCTACAGGTCCTAGTCATAGGGTTTCCATCTACATTTTGTGTATGTCGGGCTTTTGACCTGAGCCCTCTCCTCCCCCCTACACCCTATCTGGAACACTGCCAGCAGCATGATGTTTGGTTGGCATAGTGAGTTTCAAAAGCTGATGTTTCAAGGTTGCCCCACATCAGGGCAACTGTCATCTCCTGTCTGTTTTGGCAGTATTTTGACATTGTAAAGAGAAATTACATGTAGATCTTGACTATCGGTGCAATTTAACAGGTTGAGTCTTAGAACTCCTCTTGTGAGGCTGTATCAAGAGGTTGAAACCTTCCGATACCGTGCCATCTCGGATACTTTCCAGACAGTTAATCGAATGGAACTGGCAAGAACAGACTACAGAGCTGGCCTCTTGTGGATGGCTAATATATCTAAAGAACTGGATCCTGAAGAATATAAGAGATTAGACAAATTTAGAGAGGTCAGTTCTAAATTGTATTTAATAGTACTTAGCATTTTAGTTGTGAAGTGATTTCTACATAATACACATAATTATACTATATTGTGGAAGAAAATTTATTTTGGTGACAAACAGTTTTGAAAAATTTGAACAAAATTTGAAATTTTTCAAACCAGTTGGACTTCTATTATTTTTCTTTCAGATTATGATTGTGAATAATTACGAGGAGGAAGAAAATAAATTGAAACAAACTGATTTGGCATTTTTTAAATCAGAAGTAATTTCAGTTAAAAGAAGAGTGAATTTAGAGCATTACTTTTGTGGTACATTTTGCTGAACATGAAGATGTTATAATTCCCTCATTAACTATCTTCATTAATGTTGTTACCTTTTTGCTTAACAATAGATTGGTGAGGTTACAAGGAGTTATCTTTTGATCATTCTTTTCAGGTTCAAGGGCAGGTTCGGAAGGGAAAAAAGAAATTTGAAAAGCTGAAGGTTGATGTTATGCAGAAGATAGATCTTTTGTCTGCAAGTAGGTGCAACTTACTATCAAGTACACTCGCTGCGTACCAGCAGGCGCTGCTAAAATTTTGGGAGAACACTTCTCGGACTATGACTCAAGTATCTGAACAGTTCAAAGGATTACCGACATACCAGTTTCAGATGTTAAAAAGCCTCAATCCTCTAACCCTTGATGGTAGTGACAAGGAAAAGGATGAAGAAGGAAAAGAAGAAAAGCAGGACAAAGAATCTGATGAAGGCAAAAAGGAGTTGAGAAACGGCGATGAAAAGAAGGAAACATCTAAGGAAGATGACGATGACCAGCTAATATCATTGGATCATTCTCCATTAGAGGAGAAGAATTCGGCAGCGGCAGCGGCAGCAGGCAATAAGAATGATAATGACGACGATGATGAGTCGCTTCTAGAAACAGATTTGCTTGGGGATGATGAAGTGTCCAATGGAAATATTGATAAGAATGACAAGCCAGGTGCTTTTATAGATTTGCTGGGCGATGATGATTTACTTCCACCAAAACATCAATCTGGTGAGTATGCATCTGTTTAACATGGTGCAGTACAAGTCCTGTTTTTGGGAGCACGGTGGCCTCATGGTTAGTGCACTCGACTCTGGATCAAACGGTCTGAGCCCAGTCCGGGGACATTGTGTTGTGTTCTTGGGCGAGACCCTTTACTCTCACAGTGCCTCACTCCACCCAGGTGTATAAATGGGTAGCAGCGAATTTAATGCTGGGGGTAACCCTGCAATGGACTAGCATCCCATCCAGGGGGGAGTAGAAATACTCCTAGTCGCTTTGTCGTAGGGGAAACCGGGTTAAGCTCTGGCCTGGTGGGCCGCTTGGCTCGTATGCAGACGTTACTTTTTTTTTACCAGTACAATTGCTGTAGCTATTACAACTTCAAGTCTATGCTTCAGGGCTAAGGTGCAGTGTTGCAGGGGTTTCCTTAAGGGCTGGGCAAATTGACCAGCTGTGAGGATTATTTTGCCTGCCTTGTTTGTCCATCTAGAGGAAAGTTCTTGTTATAAAGAGGTTCACTTTCACTGTGAAAACCAGTTACCCTCCAGAGGCAAGCAAGAAACAAGTGACTCACGTGTTGTTTATACATGTACACTAGCTTTGCTGGCTTTGTTGTTGCGAGGCATTTAAATGTTCTTGTTCTTGTATTACAGCTACAGATGACCTTCTTTCATCCTTTGAGAGTCCTCCAAACAGTAATGGTCTCAAAAGTCATGATTCAATCATGCCACCCAGCTATGAGGCAGCAAAGCAAATTCCAGCTTCTGGTATGTAATACATCAAACACGAAAGACTGTGTTTGACCACATTTCCAAGCACCGAGAAGAGAGTTGAAAATATGACATGTAGTGGAGTATCTTTGACCAACTTCAAGGTCTTTGGAAATGTGGTCAA